CAGGATAATTGGCGCCCAACGTGGGGCACGAACCCACTGCCCTGGGATTAAGAGTCCCATGCTCTACCGACTGAGCGGAAAATCAGCATCATCCCTTCCACTTCTTCATACGGATACGGGAATAAATCCTGAAATATGATGGGGAGGGAGGCAGAGACATGCAAGGGGGATGAAAACTTACAAATATCCCCTGAAACATAAATAAAACTCATGTTTTTAGATAGAACCGCAGAGGTTTTGTGCCATGTGTTAAAATAACTGATTTTTTTCTTCCCTTAAAATCGTGGACGTTTCGCAGCAGAGAATAAACCCAATCTGAGTCCTTCCCGCAACGGCACAGTTCATGGACGGGGAAGAAACCAAAGGGGAGTGAAACTCCAGTGGTTTCCAGGTTGGTTTTTTGGGATATTACCAAAAAAAAGATGGCCCTGAGGGGGGGTGTTTTTTATTAAGGAACGGGCTCCGCTGCAGCTCGTGTACAATCATAGGAGGAATGATACAAACAGCTCGGGAAAATACCGGGAGGGAATAATGCTTGTGTTTTGGGGGGGGGACACACAAGGGTTTGGTGGCGCTCCCCTGGAGCGGGGGCAACCCCCTTCCAAAAAATAAGGGTAGAAATTAAAGATACAGGAGGTGATTGCAGCAAAGGTGATGTCCACACTGTTAAGCTTTTCCTGCTGTTCCACTTCCCAGAGCTCTGCTCCCAAAAACGCCAGACCTCCTAAAAAAAGGGCTTTTTTTTGGCTATTTACGCATGGATTTCACCCCGTTGCGACCCCAGTTCGCAGCAGGTGACGCCTCCAGGGTTGTTTTTAGGCACTTGTCATTTCCTTGCACTGATTTTTTTTGGCCTTCTGGGCCCCTTTTTTCCTCCCTCTCCCTACCCCCCCCCCCAATAAAAAAGTCAGGGCCTAAATTGCTACTCCAGACCAAATAATTATCAATTATTTTCCCCTTTATGGACAATTTCCCACGTATAAAACGACCAAGAAAACGAATTTCAGCCTGATTTAACGCTTTCCCATGACCGATGATGGCTCCGAAGTATTGAAAGAATTGATTTCACAATTCAAATTTGAATGACACCTTTAAACACAGGCTTAGCAAAACCCCGCCGGAAAAATGTCACCCGCGTAATGGAAAAATGTTTCGCTCCGTTTATTAAAAATATCACTTTTTTTTTTCTTCTTTTTTTTTTTTGAGACTAGAAACAGTAAAGTGTATGAAAAGTTTGTTGTTTTTGTTTTTTTTTTTTTCTTTTAAAATATAAATCCAAGGGAACAAATCTCATAGCAGCAAAAAAAAAGCAGAACAGAGAAAAAAAAAAACCTTAAAAAAAAAACAACCAACCCAACACAGACACAACCTTCCCCAA